GCGCGGCCGGCGCGGGTAAAAAAATGGCCGGGTGAACGGACCATTTAGCTGGTTGCCTTGGCATGGCTGCGTCGTAGCTGAGTGCTGACGTCACTTACTACTCTTTTTAAACATATGCGTTTTAAGATATAACGATACCAATACTTGATTACTCAAATTTGGCTAAAATTCAACGAGTGACTTCCATGACGCTGCGCGACATTGGCCCCTACTCTATTGTGTCTAGAATAGATATTACATATCGATTAATGCGGCTAAGAGGAGCTGGTGAGATGTACTGTTGTGGCTAGCTGGAACTAATGAAGATATGTTCGATGCCATATGATCTACTGCTATAATCATGATCTGTTCACACGGTTTTTACGTGCAGCAGACCTGCGTAAAACAAGGACTTCATGAGAGAAGTGTGACGTATAACGCGTATCGGAGGGCGCGCATATTGGGATCCAAGACGGCATGCTCACTCTGGTGCAAATCAGACCTTAGTTCCAAACGTCCGGTAAAAGCTCATTAAATATTCCAGCATCCAGACAAAGTGATGATCGTTAAACCACTTCTAGCCATCACAAATATGCGAATAGGGAGTTGGTTGTTAGGCATTCCAACTTTGCGAATCAAGATTTCGTCGTTGTTCTGCCCAAAAGATGTCCATTATGACCACACGAGAGACGGAAAGAGATTTCAGATGCAGTGCGGGTAGCTTTCGAAAAGATAACGAATTAAGCAAAATTAAAACACGGACAAACGCGTGGGTTATGGCCCGGAGCTATTAGCGCGCGTCCAACGCACACAGCAAGGCGTCCGTGTGAGCAGACCATTATGCGTTAAACGAATTCGATGCCTCTAATGCCCCGTCTGCTTTGGTCTAATTTAATGGAATGAAGAAATCCGTGAACGTTTGCAAGAAACAAATGGAAACAAGAGGCGGATGCTGAGCAATGGAAATTGCTTCTTTGGGGGGATTTTCAGCTATGCCATGTCCATCTGTCGGCACAATTACGCGCGCTTTGCTGCCGGTTTGGTCCTTTCCAGTTAGATTGGTTCCCTCCTGTTCCGCAGCAAAAACCTGAATCTCACGAAAAACCCAGACCTCCCAGGGTGTTGGCTAATACCCTGGGCTCGTCAGTTAAGTGCCTCCCAGAATCGCCGTTTTTACCAGCCGTGCCATCCTCAATAGCTCCCTCTTAACATCCAAATCGCCTGCCTTCATTAGCTGGCGCTGATCACGTCTCTCCTTCACCAGCCGATGTTGGCCGGCTTTGCCCAGCCGGCGCTGATCCCTCTCCCGGCGTGCACCGACGCTGATTCACCCTCTTCGCCGGTGCCAAGCGCCCGCCCTCAGCCTGGCTTGACTACACACTTCACGCCGCACTCGTGCGAAGCTCGTCACCAGCTTCACTGAGGCGGGCGACCGTCAACAGCACGGATCTCGCGTGGATGTGCGGCTTTGCCACCGCGCCGTTCTCGTGCGACTCCGGCGGCTCCGCGACGTCCAGTGACGGCTCTGTGCCGGCCGTGCCAGGCCGCGGCCGCGACGCGAGCCGAGATCGTGCTGCCGATGGTAGCTGACCGTGGCGCTGTACTTCCTCTCGGGCGGCCCGGCCGGCCGGATTAGCGATCGCTAGCCCTGATTGCGGCCGGCCCTGCCGCCCAGCCAAATATGGCGGCACCCGGACTCTTTGTCCGCCTTTTTGTAGACTGATAGGTTCACTTCGTGAGAACCGTTTGTGCGCGGACGGCTCACTTCTGATCAGGTGCAGTGAGCCTTTAGTGCCGTCTGGATGTGCCACACGATCACTCCTGATCGAGTGCATTGAGCCTTTAGAGTGCCGGACTGGATGTGCCACACGATCACACCTGGTGGAGTGCACTGAGCCTTTAGTGCCGACTGGATGTGCCACATGATCACTCCTGATCGAGCGCACAATGTGCACTTCACTGAGCCTTTAGTGCCGACTGAATGTGCCACACGATCACACCTGGTGGAGTGCACTGAGCCTTTAGTGCCGACTGGATGTGCCACACGATCACTCCTGATCGAGTGCATTGAGCCTTTAGAGTGCCGGACTGGATGTGCCACACGATCACACCTGGTGGAGTGCACTGAGCCCTTAGTGCCGGCTGGATGTGCCACATGATCACTCCTGATCGAGCGTACTGAGCCTTTAGTGCCGGCTGAATGTGCCACATGGTCACCTCTGATCGAGTGCACTGAGCCTTTAGTGCCGACTGGATGTGCCACATGATCACTCCTGATCGAGTGCACTGAGCCTTTAGTGCCGACTGGACTGAGCCTTTAGGACCGACGCGCCGCACCTGAGCCACATGCGTGGCTGACCTGCGACTATTGGGCAGGTCAGACGACAGACGACAGAAGGATGACAGCGAGCCTGGTCAGCCCGTTGTGGCTTCCACCCTATTAGTCTGGTCTCTCCGGGTAGTCGACCAAACAATGGGATGCAGGGATAAGATGAGTCCACTGCTTGGAAGCCTTCCCCTTCAGACATGTGTACGCGGCAACGGGAGGCGTGGCAGCGCTGGCGAGGCGCGTCCGGACCATCTCAGCCGGACCTCAGTGATCCTCCGGCGTGCTCAGCAATACGCTCAGGGCTATTTACGTGCCGCCAGGGTGGGGTATACTAAACTTAGCGCAGACTGCTGGCGGCGCAAGCTGCCCGACTCCGTTTTGCTACATGTCTGCACGGCTCCTCTGACAGGAGTGTTTACGATCGGCATGCGCCTGAGCTTGGTAAGGACTGCTTCAGAAGGGATCGCTTTGTGAGGTACTGGTAACACCCCATCACCAAGACCTCACCCGTTGGTAGGAACTGTCAACATGGATTGTAACGGAGCGCTTCGGACTTGTTCAACTGCCAGATTGACGTTAGTGTTATTATAACGTCCTAGCTCTCCTGTCCTCAGTATCTTAGCGCCTAAGGTACTTGATTCAAGGCGAGCTCGCCTAAAAATGAAACATGGGCTTCCCTCCGTTCAACAATAAATGTGCACTTCTCTTCGCTGAACCGAAAATATACAATATTCCCTTGTTATCAGATTTTGCGTCGAAGCTTTCCACTTCTTAACGTTCCATCAAGATCTTTGAAAAATGGCTTCAGTTTCTCAGTGTATTTCTCGCCTCGGAGTACCAAGTCTCAGTGATCAGTTATCAAATCACCCGTCAACAATTTTTAGGACATAGTTTTACCACATGGAACAGTGCACAATCATAGCCACCATTTCTATCAGCGCGGCTAAACCTATAGGCAAGTGTGCACAGAGACCAAACGACGTCCCATCATGCGGGTTTACCCCCACCAGGCCAACCGGTCGCGCTGTACATGCAGCACAGGCGGCCGGCGGGGCCGCCGACCGGCCCGCTGTGTCGGGGGCCTACCGGCCGTGGCCTTTGACCGCGCTCAGTGACGTCACCACCTGCTCTGACGTCACGGCTGGCGTCTGGGCCAGCGAGTCGTGACGCCCGGCTGTGGCCGGGTCGGAAGGGGGGGGGGGGGGGAGGAGTGGGGCAAGTCTGGGAGCCCGGCAACTGCCGCGTCTTTGGCCAGCTCCGAAGTAGATGATCGACTCTGCCTCTGTGTGTGCCCGTTGGCTGACACTGGCCGTCTGTGGGCGGGTTAGCTGACACTGGCTATGTGGGCGGGTTAGCTGACACCAACCCTATGTGGGCCGATTAGCTGACACTGGCCCTATATGGTTCCGCAAGCTGACACCATCCCTGTGTGGGCCGATTAACTGACACCAATCCTGTGTGGGCCGATTAGCTGACACTGGCCCTATGTGTACCCGTTAGCTGACACTGACCCTATGTGGGCCGTTAGCTGACACTGATCCTTTGCGGGTCGGCTCTGAGGGTATAACTGGGCTGGAGTGGACAGATCAGCTGACGCGGGTCTGTGCGTGCTCACCAGCTGACGCCGGCTTTTTGCGTGGGCAGATCAGGTGACACCGGTTCTTTTTAAGACGATGCGGCTTAGAAGCGCTACTCGCGTGCGGAACAGCGAACAGTTCCAATGCAGTCCGCTTGGTGACAGCTCGGCAGGTCGCGTTGCATACGGCCAATGCTCCTTCTCCGATTTCTGGCATGAGCTTCTGAGTCATGCGCTTGTGCAGGGGGGCCGGCCGGGGTTTTCGCCCTCAGACTCTCAACAGCGGGCCTGGAGGTGGGGCGGGATTATCTCAACGGTCCAGGACTGAGCGCCGTGTTGCGGTAATAGCAGCGGCCGCGACCAACAGGATCGACCTCTGGTGACGGGCCGGGCCGGCGCCGTCCCCGGCGGTAGCCTCCTGTCAGGGCCTGCACGTGCAGTGGTCACCTGTCGCGGCCGCCAGCGCTTCAGACCGCAGGGGATTTCCGCGCCTTCGTGGTCCACTCGCTCCTGCGGAGAGGCCTTCAAAGCGGAGCACGTCTTTTCTAGCTGACGTTTTTTGTGATTGTGAAAACTTTTGGTTTGCTTAAATCCACTCCATTGGCTGCTCAGCCATGATACCAGACACGGTGACGCCTGACTCAGGCACTTTCAAACACAGACACTCGCCAACCTGGTTACATAACTTTTATTTCTCAGGAGCCATTTCTATCGCGAGAACTATGGCGTGTGATGTACATACGTGCGAGGCAACTTTAAGCATGTCGAAAAAACCGTATGGTGGAACGGGACACTCCGGAACAGCAGCTCTGGCGGCGGGAGGAAATCTACGCCACACAGTACCGCATACTTACGCGCACTTAGGACCTTGCGGTGCATCGGCTGTCTTATCTAAGGCTGGTACCGGCTCTGGAATGGCGACGTGAGATATTTGTGGTTCGTGCAACGTCCCTGGTATCCAGCGTTCGTGCCTGTAACCCTGATCCTACCGTAAGTCTCCGGAAATGTCTGTCTATAGCGACTTTTGACACAGTTTTCGAAACTGCCCATGAAGCGGACAGTCCAAGATGCGTGCCATGACCCTAGCTCGATCTGGTCTTGGTCTAAGTCGCCCACCTGCGCCTCCCGCGGCGTCTGCTGCGCGTCTCCGAGTAGTCCCCGCCGCCTGGAGTGTGTCGGCGGCCGGCCCTCTGCTTGTGTGCGTCGAGGGCGGTGCCGGAGCCTCCTGCGCGGCGGACGGGCCAGCCGTTTGTGCGCCTGCCTGACACCGAACGGCGCCGGCGCGGCCCGTACCGCGACTGTGCGTCCGCCCCCGCCCGCGCGCCCCGCGAGGCGGCGGCGGGGGCCCGGGAACACCGGCCTGTCACCGATTCTGGGAAGGTTCTGCGCTCGACCTTGGTGGGTCCGTCCTCCGTGGTTTTCCACTGACGCCACATTTCTGTCGTGCTCCGCAGTGCCCTCCTGTGGGGAAGGCGGGTGTCCCTACAAGGCTGGTGCAATGTAATCGTGTATGCCACGAAAGGCCCCAGAGCTGCGGCGGGTCACTGCGCCGAACGGCGCGTTGTCGTCCCATTGCATCATCGGGGCGGCCCGGTCCCTGCCGTCGATCTGGCGGTCCAGTCCCTGCAGCCGCTCTGGTGGCCCAGTCCCGACGACCTCTCCACCGCGCCAGGTCGGCAGGCGCTGTGCCCGGGTCTGGCCAGCTCCCTGGCGACGCGCCACGCCCGGCCGGCGGCGTCTGCCGACGAGGCCCGGCGGCGGCGGCGCCGGCGGCGGCCGGCGAGACCCGGCCGCCGGCGCCGGGCCGAGCGGTCTGCGCCGCCGGCGGACAGCTCGGGTGGCTCGTTAGCCGGGTCCGCCGCCACCGCCGCCGCCGCCTCGTCCCTCACACGCGGCCAGCTGCCGACGTGGCCGAGACCACAGCCTGTGCAGGACCTGTACAACGAAGCGCGGGGCGGTATTTTTAAACGTGGTGCTCCGCCTCATCGCCGGCAGTTCGGTCGCTGCGGCGGGGAGAGGACGACGGCGCCGGAAGGGTGGGCGGGTGCTGGGTGAGGTGGGGGGGGGGGGGGGGGGAGCTGCTCGGTGCCGTGGCTCAGATCCGCGAAGGCTCAGTAATGAGTTATTTTATCAGCATGATCAGGAATCCGAGATAACAAGGTTAGAGGTCGACCAAATCTATGCCAGTTCACATGCAGACCCGGCACCGATTTCGTTGCATCTTCTGCACCATAAAAATTGGGAAGCCTTACGTGACGGTTGCTTGGTACCGCCCCATCAGCAACAAACCTAGCCCTTTTCACTCCCATTATCGGACCAATATCTCTGTTTCATTTAACCGCCACTGGTGTGTACCGCCTCCTCAGGCCTGATTATTCGGAACGCATCACCTGTTGTTTGTACCAGGTGTGTAGTTTCCTTGATATGAGAAAAAGGGGTTCAGTTCCCGGTCTTTCGGCATTTTCGACACGAAGTTTCCTTTTCAACTGCAGGAAGGAGAATCCAATTCCCGAACTTTAGGAGGAAAGTGGGCCAAGTACTGGTAGGTATCCAGTTTGTTTTGTGTATTTTGGGAGAACATTTATATATTTTTCCTACTCAGCCCTCCCAAACTTAAATTGCATAACTACTCCGCTGGTAACCACCCTGATAACCAACGTGTCTCTTCAGCGCTTAAGGCCTGACACGTGTGAGGCTCGTGTGTGGTGATCGAATTCCTCTCGCTGCGTCCAACCAGCTGTGGATTACGCGCTGCGACCGACACCTGGCTGGGCGCGATGACGCAACGCCTACGCCACGTCTTTTTGAAGCTGGGTCAGACGGAAAGTGGGAGCGCCGCAGCCTAGTGCAGCCGTCGGTGCAGCTCGGGGGAGAACTGCAGCCTGGTACAGCCACCGGTGCGGCTCGGGGGAGCGCCGCAGCCTGGTACAGCCGCCGGTGCAGCCCGGGGGAGAACCGCATCCTAGTGCAGCCGTCGGTGCAGCTCGGGGGAAAACCGCAGCCTGGTACAGCCGCCGGTGCAGCTCGGGGGAGCGCCGCAGCCTGGTACAGCCGCCGGTGCAGCTCGGGGGAGAACCGCAGCCTGGTGCAGCCGTCGGTGCAGCTCGGGGGAGAACCGCAGCCTGGTACAGCCGCCGGTGCAGCTCGGGGGAGAGTCGCAGCCTGGTACAGCCGCCGGTGCAGCTCGGGGGAGAGTCGCAGCCTGGTACAGCCGCCGGTGCAGCTCGGGGGAGGGCCGCAGCCTGGTGCAGCCGCCGGTGCAGCTCGGGGGAGCGCCGCAGCCTGGTACAGCCACCGGTGCAGCTCGGGAGAGTCGCAGCCTGGTACAGCCGCCGGTGCAGCTCGGGGGAGCGCCGCAGCCTGGTTCAGCCGTCGGTGCAGCTTGGGTGAGAGCCGCAGCCTGGTACAGCCGCCGGTGCAGCTCGGGGGAGCGCCGCAGCCGGGTACAGCCGCCGGTGCAGCTCGGGGGAGCGTCGCAGCCTGGTACAGCCGCCGGTGCAGTTCAGCCTGCAGCCAGGCACGCGGACGAACACCTGGCGGAGCGCCGCCGCCGCCCGACGGCGGCTCCCGCGTCAGTCATGTGTCGGCGGTGTGGCGGGTGGCGGTCGTGTCGCTCCGACTGGGTCACGATTGGCGGTTCGACAGATCAATAGGTCAAGGTTAAGGTTACGGGAAGGGGATGCGGGGGCTTGGGGTTTTCTATCGCTGTTCCGTTAACTCACCGGTGCTCATGAAATATGCCGTTGCGATATCCGATAAACTGGACGCCATCGTGATATCGGACGTTGTCGTGTGGAACAGGTTTGTGAAAAAAGAAAACGCTTGAAATGGGCTAGATGATCATTATTGGGACAATTTTGGACGACATGGAATGGGATAGTGGGGGGGGGGGGGGGGAGAAAACAAGCTCCGCCTGGGACAGACTCTCACCTCGCGCCAGATCTTATCACGGGACTCATCAGACACTACTACACTCTACTGTGGTGACACTGGTGACCACGTGGCACTCCACTGGTGACACTGGTGACCAACGGGCACCCCAGACATGTTTTGGTCGTCGCTATCGGGACATCTGGGACAACGGCTACTTCTTCGCCGTCAGTTTGATGGACTAATGCGCTCATTTATGAGCCACGAAGCACGCTGGCGGCAACTTCAAGTAATTCGGGCAACTATGAGCATACATGTGTTTGATCTGGCTTCACCGGAATCGATTCTGGTGCCAACCAACAGCGCGATAGGCCTAGTCCGATTACGAATCCGAGCAGCACAGCTCAGTATTAGGCAGACTGCGATTCTTGCGCGAGAAGAAGTGGTGCCTTGCGAAGACCATTCCGGTGACGATGACGTACGAGATAAACCGCTCTGTGGGTGATGATAGCTAATTTAGCATATTTATTTCTTACCAAGGCCACAAAATGTCCGGTGTTTCATGTTCTGACACTTATAACAGCTGTCAGAATATTTGTTGCTAAATGTACCCCGGTCTTAGTCAACTCAACGATGATTACAACCTATGCGTTAGACCAAAGTATGGCTCCGTTTAAGACTTACGTTCGGGAATGAAAGATTCTAGCTCAATCCATTGAAAATTTGGGCCTATCCGGAGTCGATTCCGAACCCCTTCCCCCTCTCCTTTGGAGTTCAGCACATTTTGACGTGACGCATGTGAAACGGTTTGTCCTGCGCAGCCCGTAACTGCACGTTGGGAGCGCCGGCCGCCGAGCCTTACCGCCCGTCCGTGGTGTGCGTCTGCACCGTGCCGGACAATCAGACATGTGCTTCGATCCCAGCAGTTGGAGGGTGTGGGATTACCAGGTGGAGGCCGGCCGACGCGACAACAGCTGTGTGTCGTCGCACGCTCTAGGCCCATCGCCGAGCTGTCCGCCCGCTGCACCCCTTCCCCGCCCCCCCCCCCCCCTCTTTAAAAGGGCCAGGCGCTGTGGGTCAGGCCGGTGCACAGCTGAGCCTGGCCAATCCGCTCCGACGGCGACACGCACCGAGCCCAAACCGGCCCTCCAGCTAGCGCGGTGCACGCGGCGCGCGCGTGGCCGGCTGCTGCCACGTCATGACGTCAGCCCCGGCTCCATCACCGGGCTGGCCGGGCGTGCCCGGCGCCGCGTGCGATGCAGTCGGCGCCGACCCGGGAGCCGCCGTGCTTCTGTCCGCGCGGCGGGCGCGGCGCGGCGCTGACGAGCCGGCCGGCCGCCGCCATCTGTGCCGCACCGGTCCGCGCGGCGGCGCCGCCGGCCGCTGCCCTCGGCCGCCGCCCGTATCGACAGCCCGGCCGCGTCCCGGCCTGCGGTTCAGTGACCGGGCCGGCCGCCGATCTGCGTACCGGCCAGCCGCGCGCGGCCGCCGCGTCGTCGGCTGCCAGGCTATTGATCCGCCGCCGGTGCTGCGTCACGCGCCAAAGCCACGGCCGCGCCGCCGCTCCGCGCCCAGAGTCGGAGCCGGTAAACAACGCGTCGGATTCGGACGCGGATCGGTGAAGCGGCTTGATGGATGGAGCACCGCGGTGGGCGGGGCCTTGCCCGCGGCGCAGGTTTGATGCGTAGTTTCCGGCGTGGCTTGTGGTCGCCGGCGAAGATTGCCCGATCGTGTCGAAGCGGTCAGGATAAGCTAGTGCTACAAGGATCGGGCGTGTAGACAGGGTATTACCGAAGTTGGCGGCGTCCAGACCCCAGCGCTGTTGGAGGATTTTTAATGATGAGTGTTAGGGCTGATCGAACTCGTTGGCCCAATTTGCAGCTACGCGGCTGGATGGGTGACGGGAGTTTAGGAACGAAGTTCGCAGAATGTGCGTGGGAATGGGTTGGAAAACTAGTGGCCGGGAAATGGAACACATGTGTGGCAAGTTCTGAAATGTTTTCCAGATTCAGTCGTCATCGTTGGGGTTTTATTGAGCACTCAGCATCTGATACGAAATGGTGTCGTCTGTATCTCACCCTGGCAAGAAGAGCTGGGACCGCGAGAGTCGATACCCGTACCCCTGTGTTCTCAGACGCCAGTGAGACCCAGAGAAGCTGCTGCGCCACCAGCGCCCCTCACGAGTGTAAGCATGGTTAGGATATTGCATTCCCATGGTGTTGCAATGTCTTGTGTAAGCGGATGAAACGTTTTGGGAACTGCTGAGACATAAACAAGTTACGTTATTTGTTAACGCTTCGGTCAATGATTCCTGTACTGTACTGCAGTCGCTGAACCATGTCAGACGAGGTCTGCTGTATTGGCAGTCGTTTACCGGCATAAGTCGCATGACTTTCGGGCCATCACATTATCAAAGCTGGGATGAGGCGGGAAGGAGTGGGAGTGAGTCTCGTGAAAACCAGCATTAACTTTCTGACGGCGCATTGAACGAGAGCTAAATACCGGTTTGTCCCCGAACCGACACCACTACGCTGAATTTGTACGAGGAAGCCGCAGCCTCCGCAGTCAACCGCCTACTTCGCTTGAAATTTAAACGGCACGCGCCTTTGTTTTAGTTATTTACTACGTAAGCAAATAGTAAAACCACGCGCTAAAGCGCACGCGAATATTCCACAAGTACCAGAGATGACGCATAGCAGAGGTGCCCTGGTGTATTTTCACGTGATAGATATCCGCAGTTGTGTTTGCAAGGTTGAAGGGCAATGGTGTAATCTCGTGTTGTTTGTCAGGTTGCATTTACAGGGAACGGTTATCTAACTCGTATTATTTTCCTAAGCGGCGTGGCGATATCAGTATAATTTGCTCAGTGTATCACTGGCTAAACATGAAGTTAAGCATATAAGTACTTGAGAACCTGTACTTCTCTATGTGAACCTGAGAACCTGTACTTATCTGTACTATGTGGGCTAGGACCAGCTTGATTTGTGAGCGAGAAGTTCACTTAACGGCTCCAGCAGTGGCTCCAGCTATAGAAATAGATGCATTACGTCGCAAATAACGAGTTTCTGCATCTCCTCACATGGTCACGAGTTTCGAAGATTTGAAAACTTCGTGCCGCCTATGACGTAAGTTAACGAAATTTAACGCATGTGGTCTCGTGCACGTGTTCCTATGTTGGATGATTTCAGAATATTCGTTTAAAGAATATGACACTATCTGACTCGGTGCAAGACTAGTAAGACAATTTATTTTGATATATTTTGTCCGTGAACTTCATGCCCATCAATTCGTCTGCATAAGATGCTTGCTTCAGTTCGAACTTGAGTAGACATTTAATAACGTATTGAGAACATCCGGACTCCACTTGAAGTTACATTATTTGTGAAGGCGGAGAATCCTATGCGAATTGCGAGGAGGCAACGTAATTTTCGTCACGTTTTTTCATGCTCTGCACAAAAGATGAACATTTCCTGTTGCCAGGAGCTAGGGGAGGGGTGGGGAGCTGCTCCCTGCCCCCTGCCCCCTGCCCCCTGCCCCCTGCCCCTTGCCCCCTCCCCCCAATCCGGTGCATGTATGCCGGAGACTCGTGAGATGCGTTTTGAACAGGCGTGGGGACAAAACTGACCTCGACTTTGGCTTTGCAAAGGCGCGGTTTTCCTCCAGTTGCTTCGGGCTTAGCTTTGAGCCATTTTGTACGGCTGGCGTCGGCTTTGGCTTCGGCGTCGAACAAATTTTGATTTATGGTTCCAGTTTTCTTGCGATCTTGAACTGTTGGCTTTGGTTTTATGATGACTTTTTCACTACAGTTGTGACTTACTTCACGAAAGCAATGTTTCACCTTATGTCTTATGCAACCACAACCACTCATGTTTGCGACGCATGCACAGCTGAAAGCCAAAAGCCAGCCTGTCTTTCTCAGGGTGAGTTATCATCACGGCTGTCGATTTGTATTCTTTCGGATGGGCCACCGCCCCATCCATTGTCCAATCTGCTCCCCCCCCCCCCCCTCCCATGGCGAGTTTGGTCCCCAACGTTCTGGAGTCCAAGTACATGCAGGACACTACAAAGACGAGTTAGAAATTTTATCAAACTTATAGAAGATTTTGTACTAATTGCTTCAAAGGTAAGAAAGGCCAAATAAAATGAAGAATGCACCAGACGGAGGGCACCGGGCGCGAGAACAACCAATGTGAAATAATCCCTCCGAAAGTTTTTTTCAAAATGAATTCGCATCTTTCAAGATTAGACTGGGGTGTACATTTCAGCTTTATAATTTGAGGTTGGTTGGCTTTGAACAGCTTAAAGGTTACAACAACACGGAAATGGAAATTTCGCTTCCACTTTTCCATTTCCCCCCACTAGATTTCAGCACGCCCTCGCAGTGCTGTCAATGCTAATTCGTTCTTATTGACAATAAAAAACTCGTGCAGGTGATGTATTCGCTTGGACTGTCTTCTAAACGTACTAATTGATGTTTTAAAGCGTTCGAAGGTGTTTTCTTTCTGGCGCGTCATCGTTGTCATCCAACCGTTGGTCACCGCCTGGTGTCAGCTGGGGAGCGGGCCGACACCGTGCGCCCTTCGGAGCCCGCAATGCCGGGCGTCGGGTTTTGTTCCTAAGGCTTGCAAGCGCGCATGTTCATGACTATCGGATCTGATTTTCTTCACTAATAAATTCTGAATGGAAGTAGCGCATTCCCAGATTCATGGGATGACAATGTCAATATACGGCTTTGATCCCGTGCCGAGCTGCAGTGTACGTTCACTGGGTCCTCACTACCTATCGCTGTGGAAGAAAAACGGCGAAAGCCCTTAGTGCGATTAGTTAAAAAAGAAAAACACCGAGCCATTGTAAAAGGAAGATAAGAGAATGATGAAAAAGCTGTATCCTGTGTAGTTATTTAACGGCAGGCTCTTTCAGTTTCTTGAGTTGAAAATGCGAACAGAATTGCATCTTCCGGTAGCTTCAAGCTTCTGTTGAAATTGGAGCAGGCTAAAAAAATAATGAGACGAAGAGGAACACGTCCGATGATTTTTCCTGCGGGGGGCTTTGTTAACTCTATGCCCCCTCCCGCCCCCCCCCACACACGCACACTATCGTATTAAGACTTGCTGAAAAAGGTGCAATAGCCTTGGGTGTTATTTTTTTGTTGAACCCCGTGATGGACACCACAACTTTATAGACCTGTGCAGAAGGGCGCAGGGATTTCAGTCGCGCTATTTCATCAACGCCATCTAAAGCCAAAGGACCTTATGCGTCAAACATTGTCATCACTATTGCCGCCGAATGCGCTCTTCTACTGCATCTCTGTTGTAGTCACAGGTTTGAAAATCATTTGTCAGCTAGAGTGACCGCGGACCTCCGAATGTACTATCATCGTCCGTGCCGTCCAGAAGTGGTCAGGCTGGCTGAGCGTGGGTGAGCTCGGCCGACCGGGTCGGCCAGAGTGATAGCGGGCCTCCGAATGTACTATCATCGTCTGTGCCGTCCAGAAGTGGTCAGGCTGGCTGAGCGTGGGTGAGCTCGGCCGATCAGGTCGGCTAAAGTGATAGCGGGCCTCCGAATGTACTATCGTCGTCAGTGCCGTCCAGAAGTGGTTAGGCTGACTGACTTGGGTGAGCTTATTGAGGACGCAGTATGCACGCAACATTATAGGCACACAGCCACTAAAGAGCCAGCTCAACTAATAACGCTATCACAATCAAAGTGGATTGCCCATGACATTGACAACACCGGGGTTTGGTCGGCCACACGTTCGAATTATAGCAGGATCGGGAGTGTCGCTTTCCGTTCAAAGGTACAATAGCTTGGAGTAGTGCACCTCAGGAGTACAGCAGGCTCGCAGTGTGTATTGACTGGAATGAACGAGGAAAAGCCATGCCAAACATAAGAGAATTTGCCTGAGCGTAGTTACGGAATGGTTGAGGGCCATTGTCTTAAACGATGCGTGGAGAAGCACTTACGTTTTGTTTGACTGAAGTGCGTGTATTTCGCCGATTAAATTTTGATTTGCCGCGAACTTGCTTGTAAAATGATTGCCATGGGCACGTACATTCTAGACAATCCATTCTTGTAACTGCATAGATAAATAGTTAACAACTTACCTTAGTGCACAATGGCATCTATACGCATGTTTCACACTTCAGTATGCAAAAGAGAGGTGCAACTGCACCCCGTCTCTTACACAAAAGTGGCGTGCTTCTAAACAGCTGAAACAAACGGCGGGTTTGCTATGTGATTGCTGTGGATAAATGCATTTTAGCGCTCAGTATATACGTATATTCACATAAACGTAAAGTTGATGAAATCCCAGAAGTTTTTCGCACCTGTCCCTTTTCGGTGACTTTCACGATTCTCTCCCCTCCCCCAACCATTTTGAGAAATCGAAACCCCTGGTTATCATCTAACAATAGCTGAAGGACAAACGTATAAAACGTTATGTACAACCAACATAGAAAACGGGAACAATGTATATCAATTATGCCATCCGGAAGCTAACACCTTTTCTCACTTGCTCTGCGAAACCCTGATGATATTTTCAAATCCCGTGTAGTTTTAGGCTAACGCAAAAATGGCTTTGGTGTCGCAAAACTGCGGCTTACGTCAGATTCGGATTCGAATGCGGCTTCGAATTCGGCTTTGTGACTTGTTACTGATGTGTTCAGCTTCGGCTTTGAAACTGTCGACTGTGGCTTCGGCTTCGTGTGTACAAACTTCGAAACCAGTGATTCCGGGTCTGGCTTCACGTTCTAAAGGTACGGAACCACTGGCGTCAGCTTCGGCTTCGCAATTGAGAATATCAAAGCCACCAGCTTCGGTTTCGACTGGGGCTTCATGACGTTTTCTTGGCTGGGGATTCGGCTTCGGAACCAGAAGCCTGACTTTGGTCCCACCTTCGGTCCGCAATCGCGCACAAATATCTCAGCATGAGTCTGGTCCCGGTACTGGGTGCTCGTGTTATTTATAGCGTGGAACAGCACCGCAATAATCCCTTCGCTATCCCAACCAGCGAAAAGACCAGTAGCAAAGTATCCGCCGAGCAGGGAGGAAGGTGACAGCACCTGAGTGGCGGGTCCGCGGTGCGAGGAAAAGCTCTTGTTATTGTGTATCGACCATCCCCAGGGGTGCATCCCCGGATTGCTGGTCTTGTACTTGTGTTGATGATTTGCACGGGCAAAATATCTTCCGGGAGCTGCCTTGGTTCGGACGCCACCGATGCCAGTGATGGTTGTGCACATGGAACCCGCCCTGCTAGTGGTTCGGATGCAGCTTTCGAATGATTTGGCGTATGTTCATGGTGAGCGGTCTCTCAGAACAATCCTTAACGCGCATGCAGCGGGGAAAAGGGAGGCGTGCAATAAAGACGTGGCAATCTACCCAACTTACCTCAGAGTGAGTCCAAATTATTTGTAAAATGGCAATGACAGGCCAAGATCATGGTGGTATTTATTTTACCCCTTTCAACCTTGTACAAATTAATATTTTCCCATGGAATCCCGTTTGTGTGGGAGTGGGGCTGGGGCATTCAGGCTTCTGAGTCATGCTTTATATGAACCTAAACGCAAAAGCATTCGTGTTGAATGGGCTGAAATCCGGAAATGGGCTTCGACGCTATTTCACGCAAAGCACGGCACGGTGGAACCTGTGTCACTTGTCACGCTCTGCTTTCACACACGCTGTTCGGGACCCATCAACCTATTGCGCCGGCGGCCACCCGACAAACAGCGGTGATCCGGTAAACAGGGCCGGCGCGGCGCGACGGAAGAGCGCCTCCCGGCCGCGGCCCGGCCGGCTGCGGGTGCGTGTTTGCGCGCGATGCCGGCGCCGGCGGCCGCCACCCGGGGCGGCGAACCCCAGCGCCATGGAGAAGGCCCCCTCCGCGGCCACCTGCCGGCCGGGGGCGCAGGGGTGCGCAGGGCCGCGCCAGTGGCGGCCCGGCGACGGCCGCAGGAGCTCGCACATCTGCCGGCCGCGGCGGCCCGGCGCCCTGCCGTCGTCTGGTGTAGGCTGGTGCGGCTCCGGCCGTGGAAGCATGCCGATGCTGTGCCGTGCATGGTGTTACGACCAGGGCCTTGACGGCGGCGGCCGTATCAAGGTGACTGCGGATGGGATTAGTGATCGAGTGGGCTGGTTGGGCCCGTGCTGTCGGCAATTGTCAGCGGTGTCGCTTTGTCGCTTCGGTGGTGTCGCTTTAGCCGCTGTTTTGTCTCTGTCTGTTGTTGTGCTGTCTGCTGCGTTGTAATGCGCTGTGACCTACGACATGATACAATGCGCACGTCACACAGTGTTTGTGCAACAGCAGGCAGTTGTCCTTGCGCTGGCAGTTTCATTTTAGCCGCCGCATCCTGCGTTCTTCCTATGCGCTGGCCTCCCATTTCATCAGCTGTGGTCTCACGTGGTGTGCCCGCTGCCTGCTGCTGTCGTCTGACCTCTCGACACCAACCGTCCAGGTGCCGAGCGCGGTCACTGGCGGTCAGTCTACCGGCCGTGGCCTTGACCCCACTCTCCACTGCGTTTCAGACCAACTGAGGCCCCGCAACGGGCCCTTGTTGCCACGCATGGTGCCGACTACCAACGCGCCGGCCGAGGCGCCGCCGGCGCCGCCACCGCCGCCGCCGCCGCCGGCCGACGGGGGGCCGATGCCACCGGCGCCCCCCGTCGTCGCTGGACCGGATCTGCTCACCATGCAGGCGCGCATTCCGTACCGGTTCCGTGAGCCCACGCAGGCACCGCTGCGCAAGCTCACGCTCGACCTCATCAAGACGTACAAGCACATCAACGAGGTGCGTGCGCGTGGAAACGGGTGGAGGGGGAGACGGAGGAGGACGGGAGGAGGCAGAGGGGAACCGTGGCGAAGACGCGCTTGGCAGGATTCTCCGACCAGTCAAATCTTTCGTGGGACTCGGCGTGGCGGTCGTGGCGCCGATCCCGCCCCGCGGTGTGGTCTGGTGACTGACAGCGAGCTGTTGCCATGCGGCCGCCGGGCTGGCCCTGGCGCGCCGAGCGCTGCCGTGTCGGCCGCGCCTCCGCCCCATGGGCCGCCGCCGCGACGCCGGCCGGTGAGAGCGGGCGGGGGCGGCGCGCCGCTCGCCGCTCGGCGGGGGCGGGCGGCCGCTGTCCGTGCGCTGACGTCACCGCCGCCGTCCGCCAAACATCGGCCGGCCGCGCGCACCTGGCGGACGGGCGAGTCCACTGCGCGGCTGGCGGGGGAGGCACCTGCCGGCCGGCTGGCCGGCGCCGCCCCGAAACCGCTACCCGGGCGAGACGGGCACGGCGGGCGGCGGCCGCGGCGTGGTGTCGCCGATCGCTCAGCGGCCCGCCGTCGCCGCGTCGACAGGTGCGGCCACAGCGTCTCGGAGACGCGCCCGCTGACTCGGCGCGGCGACGGCAGAGACGTGCGACGCCCGCAGAGGGCCTCGACTGGCCGGCTGCCTGACTGAATTGTGTGCTTTGTTCGGCGTGTTTGCAGAGCCCGCACCTGGTTGCACCGCTATTCGACCTTGGCTGATGACTTATAGCAATGGGTTTATCCGGTCCAATCAGCAGAACGCTTGCTTTAGGGATTAAAAGTGGAGTTTCTTACTGGCTCTACACCCTATAACAAACGAAAATCACCAAATCGCGATGAGTAGCGCCAGAGAAAATTTTGCGTGCGCTGCAAGCTGCCAGTCTAATTGCATATGAATATTTGACATTTGACGATTGCGGCGTGGAGCTGCTTACAGAAACAGTGACGTATCCCGGCCATTGACGAACGCAGCAATCGAATTGCTTAGACTGGTCCATGTTGTAAATCTTGGGAATGTCAAAGCGTTGTCAGAATCACATGGTATGTGATAACCATCTAGCCATGCGGCCATGTGGCCACATGCTGCCAATTGCATCCGATTCAGCCATGTGGATCGCACATACTGAAATAAGCGCCAATGACACTTAACTCTTTGGGCTGGACTAGAACCCATTGGTTTAAGGACGAAATGCGTGCTCGGACTGTCGTTCTCGCCTGGTATGTTAGTATGCACTTATGCCATGTGCGCATACTAACACTAGACGGGTCGAAAGCCCGAACAATGATTCCATGTATGGTAACAACACCCAGTTTCAATCCTTCCGTAAAGCCAAGGGTTCAGTCTTGCCGCTCAGATTACCGCACAGTCGGGCCGGGCCGTCCCCTTAAAGCCGGCCGGGCCGTCCCTAAACCCCGAAATACGCCGGCGGCGAGGACTGTGCACTTATTTCCCCTGTGGAGTGCGCCGGGCGCCGCTGCATGAATGTCAGGCAGTTGCGTGCCAGCGCTCCGCGAAAACTGGCGCTCCGTTTTCGGCTAGGAATCGCGTCCGGCATCTCAGGCATTGCGTCATGCCCGTCCCGAGCGTGCACGCGGCGCCGGGGCTTTGTCTGCCGCCGGCGTGCTGGACGCTGGAGGAGGAGAGCCGAATGTCGTGTCGGCGGGTGTTATCCACAACCACGCTGCCTGACAACCGGATGGGACATTCAATTCCGTCCAGAACCAGATCTTACCAAATCGTACAAAAGTCAGTTAACGTTCACATTCTCTCGGAAGCAGCTTCACACAAGTGACGGCATGTTTCTGTAGTGACTGGGTCCATGCTCGCCAACACTGGATGAATGATTGGCCGTCTCCTCCCCTCTCGGGGGGGGGGGGGGGGAGCGTCATTCAGCTGAGTGTTGACGCTGTTTGCGCTGGTGGGAGTGGGAATGTCCATAGGCGGGAGGGAACCGCTTCTTGCCGTCTTCTCCATACCACCGGTCGATGAGCGGCTCCAGACAGAAGCGACGTGCCGCAAAGATAGGCCCTGCGCCGACTCGGGGGTATCCTTCACATCGCCAATCTCACATGCTACGGCAGCCCCTTCTGGGGCGTCTCCCGAGCCGACGAGGACCGTTTATTCCGCTGATCTGATTTGGACCTGGAATCTGCTGAGCCGATCTGTAGGCATGTGGTCCCTGTCGACTGGTCCGTACCGCCTGATCCGGTCTGTACCTATGGTCTGTTCTGCGTGGTCCGGTCGGTACCGTTTGGTCTGGTCTGTGTCGCATAGCGTGTACCGTGCGGTCCAGCCCGCACCGCCTGCTCTGGGCGCCTGTTGCCTCTGATGGTCGAGACGCGCCTGACGGCCGGCGGCGCCGCCGGCGGCCCTGACCGAGTCCGGCGGCGCCGCGCCTGCCCCGTTGCGCATTATTGATCAGCCGAGCCGGCTGGGACCGCCGGTCCCGCTCGGTACCCCGTCCCCGGCCTGTCACTGCGAGCCGGCCCGGTCCGAGCGGCCGCCGCTCGCCGTCGCCAGCTGGTCAGGTCACATCGGGCTGGAGCCGGCACCACAGACCCGGCTGCCGCCGCCGCCGCCACCGCCGTCTGCAGCGCCGGCGTTGCACCCACAGAGCACAACAGTGCCGGGCGCCGGCAGCCAGGGTCGCCGGGAGCAGGGCTCCGGCTGCGCAGCGTGCGGCGTACGTCGGCCACACCAGCTGGCCGGCCGCCAGCGCGCCGGCGTCGGCCTGGTGTGAGGGTCAGCTCGTCAGGCTGGTGCTGGGTCGGCGGCTGGCCGCCGCGCCGGCGTTGATGATGCCAGCGTGAAGACGCAGCCGGGCGTGCTGAAGTGGTATCGCGTGGCACGGACGCGCTCCATGCGGTGCCTTAATGGCTGGATTACGAGGTGTGTTGTGACCGGTGCTGACCGGTGTACAGAGTATGGTGCGGCGGCGCGCGCCGGACATGGGTGTCATGTGGTGGACCAGAGTGCGTACCACAACAGGTGGGAGCGAGGAACCATATGGCATATCTTCCGCAGGTGACATTCTGGGTGGGCAAGGGCAGAGACACATGAAGCGAAGTCGTTTCGTTTTGTGATTGCGCGCCCTGAAACCGCTATCATATGTAACGAAATAATGCCTTGTATTGCAGTTATAGTAGAGCCGGGGATGAAATCGAATTAATTTTAGGGCTTGCCTCAAGGACAGATCACGACTTAGGTGCGTCACGAGCAGAAAAAGCTACAAACCCCGTCTGTGATTGTTAAGCGCGTACACGTCCATGCCTGTTGTCACAAGTTGTGTCAATGGACAGGAACATAAACGCCCAAGAGCGATAGCCAAAGGGCATGCCGCCGTTATGGAGCGATCGCACCCAGCGCTGTGCTAGAGGAGGTCTGATGTCGCGGAAGTGGTGTCGTTCTGACGAGCTGTCGGTGGCCCCGTCTGCCGATGGGTCGGCCCTGACCGAGGCGAACTGGGACGGCCGAAGACGGCGGCAGTCTGGCGTGAGGCCCGCTACCCGGCCCGTCCGCTGGCCAGCCAGGAAGAAGAGGGTCGGCACGACCGGACCAATGCGCCGGCCCACCCGGCTGGGACGGTGATCCGGTGGTCGGCCGCCTCGGTTCCCTCCTGTCATGCCCCATAATAGCAATGCTATTTGACGACATGCTTGGTGGAATAATGCAAAAGCGCACGCCGGTTACCATACGCATCTGCTTGGATCGGGAATGAATGGGAGATCTGGCACTACAGGCGCGGCTCTGACCGAGGTGGCGGGGTGTGCGGCTGTTGCCGGGGCTCTGGCGTCGTGGCGTGTCCTCAGTCGCGCACGTGCCGCGCTTGTCTTCGCTGCACTCCAAGTGCCACCCCGATGCAGGCCGTGTCGTGTTGTACCGTGCCGTGCCGTGCCGTGTGAGTCCACCAGCTGGCGATGGCTGGTCGGCTGCGGCTCGCGCCTGGCCTTATCACAGTCTGAGCCGGCCGGTGCCGGGTAGATCGGGGCTTCTGTCCGAGTCCGTGCTATGTACAAACAGGCGCGGGTGGCGGATCGGTTCTTCCCCCCTAAACACCTGTCGTGTTTCGTCGTGAGCAGAGCCCATCAGCTTTGCCCAAACCGCCCTTACTCGTCTTCGTACGCCGGTGGCAGTCTGCGGTCGGTCAGTCTGCTCGTCGAATCGGCCGCCTGTCCGCATCCCGCACGTGATGCTGCGCCGCCGCCGCCGGCCGCTCCGCCCGGCACCGGCCCCGGCCCCGTTCGCGGCCGCGTCGCCGCCTCTGATGTGTCGCCGGAACGGTGCACTGATCCGGATGTGGTCGGCCGGCCGTTGGAGGGGCCCCGGCCGGGCGGGGCGGCCGGCCGGCTCCGTGCCCGGTGTCACGGCTCAGGCGCGGCGGCCCGGCCGGAACACGCCCAGCCGGTTTGGGTAGCGGCCGCTCGCCGTCAAATGGACCGCTCCTAGCCGCCCGGTGGACAGGTGGGGTGGCGCGCTCGGTCCGCTCGACCCGTGCTGCTGGTGGCAGGGACAGGCCAGCCGCCTGTCGGGACGGCTGTGTAGCCGGAGGACTGAGATAGCACAGACGCATGCGTCGCCTGGCGGCCCTGACATATAAACTCAAATATTTAGCGCACGTGGCCACGTGCTCTACTTGCGCACAGTACCTGCGATGCACGCACAGTGTTGGCGAGCGTGCGTGCCTACGGTTTCTTCTGGACTTGCTGAGAAAACGCTCAGACTGCATAACTCCAAAATATTTCTGTCCTGTAACAGCTACGATGCCAGTGTTTCATAGTATGAAGATGCTGACCAGCAACGTCACCAGATCCCATGCAATCGCTTTATTCTTTTTTCACTTTCAGTTTGTGATGTTTGGAAAGGTGTTTTCTGCGTGTTCATGTCGCACCCGCGTGTCCACTGCCCCTGCGCCGTAGGAATTACAGTAGGCTGGGAACTGGCGCACGATTACAAAAATGAATCACTTGCAGTCTGCGGTAGGAAAACTGCGTACATAAATTGTTGGGACCAAATCCGGTAAAATGATTCTGCTCCTGTCAGCCGCGTTGCAAAGTAAACGCCTGCGTTGGATTTTGAATGTGTATTTGTGCCACAGATGTGTGTAATAGATTGTATTCGAGTCATACTTAGACTGCGTGGTGTGTGGAATCCGTGCACCGTGTTTTCTACGCTGCTCTGCAGTGTTCGTGCAGTTATTAACTGTGATAAACCGCCATCACCTGCGTGTCACACCCTAACCTGCTGCCATCTGTCGTTGATCAGGTGTACTACACTAAGAAGCGGCGTCAGCAAAGCCAACGGGAAGAAGGCGGCCACAAGAAGGAGCGACGGCTTCTGAACGACGGCTACGACGACGACAACCACGACTACGTCATCAAGAACGGCGAGAAGTTCCTGGACCGCTACGAGATCGACTCCCTGATTGGCAAGGGCTCTTTCGGCCAGGTACGTGACGCTGAAGGCCTTCAGCTGGCGCTCATGGCAGCTGAGGAAGTATGTGCGGACGGTGTTTTGGCTGTGGTGTCTTATAGGATAGTACTCCGGGAAGTATTTGCGGGCCATGTTTGGACTGTGGTGCCTTGTAGGATAGTACTCCGGGAAGTTTGTGCGGACGATGTTTGGGCTGTGGTGTCTTGTGGGATGGTACTCCGGGAAGTTTGTGCGGACGATGTTTGGGCTGTGGTGTCTTGTGGGATGGTACTCCGGGAAGTTTGTGCGGACGATGTTTGGGCTGTGGTGTCTTGTAGGATGGTACATCGGGAAGTATGTGCGGACGATGCCTGGGCTGTGGTGCCTTGTGGGATGGTACGCCGGGAAGTATGTGCGGACAATGTTTGGGCTGTGGTGCCTTGTAGGATGGTACGCCGGGAAGCGCATGGTAGCGGTGCTGCTAGTCCCCACCACACATGGTTCGCGAGGCGCCTGATGCAACTAAACGCTGCAAGCCCGCGAGCACGCGAATTCTAAGCACAGCCGAATAGCAACACACGGGCTCTCACGCTACGGACTCCGCCGCGTTATCCGTGCGATCGCCACCCCGCCAGCACCACAGTCTCGCTGCTTGGTGCCCGGCACATCTCAGTTCAGTCCCGTGCACTCCTGGTGTCCGGCTCGGCTGTCCCCTGTGGCCGCTGGCCGTCCGTCCGTGCCCCTAGCCCCTGGTCCCTGGCGCCATCTCCGACGGCACCTGTCGCCACCGGTCAGCGGACCGGCCCCTGGCGGCCCCTCGACGGCGACAGCGGCGGCCTCCGTCCGCCCGTGACCCACATGGGGGTGCGGCAAAAACGGCGCGCCGGCCGCTCGCCGGCCAGCGGCGGGAAAGCGGTGGCCGCGTGTCGGCTCCTTTCTCCGTGACCTCCCCGGACCAGACGGGGCCGACCAGACAGACAACGGCCGCGCGCGCCCGGCCACTGCGCAGTAGCCTCGGTACAGGGGCGGGCTCGGCGCGGCGCGCGCTGGCGCTCCGTGTCGGCGCCGCTGGACGAGATGAGGCCAACGAATGCGATTGTGTTGTTGAGTGCGGCAGTTTCACGATTGCGATGGCGTGGCTGAGTATTTGAACCTGGCAAAATGTTCCCAATATGCCCTCCATCTGCAATCGATGCCAGTAATGCAGCCTTTTGGCAGGCTTGGGAGGCACCATTGAGCCTGGTGGGCCGCTGAACGTAACTAGAATGACAATGATTCGCTGTCGGAACACATCACGTGCCGCTTAGGGGATCTGTTCCAATGAGCTGAGTTGAGCAAGCCAACATCCTGGCGGGGTGGGAATCGCTGACGTACCGCACGAGCGGATTCCTCCTCCGGAAGCCGCTGCTGTCGGTCTTGGACTTGTCGCTGTTAAGGTGGCGACCAAGTTGACACGGCTGGGGCAGCCCAGAAAGTAAATAGATACCTTATTTGGACCGAGGAGCGGGTGCCATGTTGGTGCAAGGCGACATGACAACAAGCCGGTCCAAGTCGCTCGGGCATAGACATGCCTTTTTGTTAAGTTTGGCTCGCGTAAGGCGGCGAAAGGCGGTCCTGCCTTTGATGTATTAGTCCGTGTCGGTGTGTCACGTGTCAGTCGTGTCTTATGGTCTGTTTGCACGCGACACCAGCGACACGAAACAGTTGAATTAGGCTGTAAGCAAGTGTCTCTTGTTTGTAGGACGTAGGCATTCGTTCTGCGATACTGGTAGAGAATCGGGCACTAAAACGGGATTGTTTGTCCTGTAACGGCCCCTTCTGTCCGCCCTCCTCTCTGCTCTGCCTTGACATCGCGCTGCTCTGCCGGTGTGTCCAGTGATGTTTTCTTTCCTTGACAGCCGCCGTCTTCCTCTTTGATGTGCAATGATGTGCAATAGTCCGATTCCGTGTACTGCACCAAGCCTGTGTTTGTGTCATCGTGCAGTTGTGTGGCCATCACAGCCCTACCGGACGCCCGAGAAACAAACGGCTCTCCGGGTTGTGTTCGGGCAAGCCGCTCTGTCCTACCCTGAGCTGGTCCGTTTGGACCGGTCCGTCTGGACCTGCTTTCCCTCCGATGGGACTTGGTCCGTTTGGATCGGCCTGGCTGAGTCATACTGTCCCTCTGGCCTCAGCTGGTCGGGCTGAACCGGCCTGGTTAGACACACTTCCATCTGCGCTTTCACAGCCCCGCAACTGGTGTCATGAAGTGAGGCACCGCATGGTTGGAGAAGCAAAATTTGTGTTCGGGCAGCCCGTGCCCAGTTAACGCCGGCGGCGGCACTTTGTTGGCGCTTGGGATTGTGGTGTCGTGGCTTTTCCGTCAATAGACTCGTTAGAAAACATTATAACTTACATAAATGATCGACATGGTATGGATATTCCTCCCTGACACCCGCACCACACCGAGACAGCGGTTATGTGAGTGATTTGTTTCACCCGTCGGTGACTTGCTCCCTGTGATGACCTTGCATCTCAACGGGCTCCAGCACCTGCCCTGCCCTGCCCTGACCTGTCCTGACCTGATCTGACCCGGCCTTAGGTGGTGAAAGCGTATGACCATGACGAGCAGACCCACGTGGCCATCAAGATAATCAAGAATAAGAAGCCGTTCCTGAACCAGGCGCAGATTGAGGTCCGCCTGCTGGAGACGATGAACCGCGCCGACTCAGAGAACAAGCACTACATCGGTGAGCGATGAGACCGGCGGCGCCGCGCCGCGAGCCACGGCCCCGGACGCGGACACGGCCGGGCCGCCGCTGGCGCGCGTGCCGTGCCGTGCTGGCTGCCGGCACAAACCGCTCTTACGTAAGCATGTACCGTGCGTCCCGAATCGGGCGCTGAGGCTGTGTCGGGCGCCGATGCGACAGCACGCGGCGTGCAGGGTCGCCTTTGTGCGCCGCGGCCCGCCGCCTCCGTGTCGGTCTAGGGCGGGGGTCCGGACGCCAGTGTCATGGCCGCCTGTCTGGGCGATGCCCGGGCCGGCGCCGCGTCCGGAGCGGGCAACGCCGGCAGACCTCCGTCAGCGTTGTCGGCTGCGAGCTGGCCGGCTGGAGGGAAGGCCGGGGTGGAGCCGGGGCGCCGGTGGGCAGCGGGCGGCGGCCAGCGCGGTGGGGCTTCTGTGGGCGGTGTGACACCCGCGGTGAGAGCCCCGCGCGGCGCCGCCCGGCGGGAACCACGCGCCGCGCCAGGGTCGGATCGGGGCCAGGTGTGGCGACTCAGGCCGGCATGGCGCGCCTAAACCGCCACAACTGGCGGTCGGGGCGCGGCGCGGCACAGGATGGGACCTCGTGGGACCGTACACCTGCTCACGCATTCGCGGCTCGCGTGTCGCCACGGTCGCCCGGCTCATCTCTCACGTGGGCGCTCGGCGTCGCCGGAACCCGGTGCACGCACTGCTCGCGGCGTCACGCGGTGCCGGCGCCGGCTGCGGGCGGGGTCAGAGTTCAGCCGCGTGGCCCGCCGTCGGGACCGCTGGTCCGTGTCAATCGCGTCACGTGACCATTAGGCATGTCAGGCCAGGCGGCGACGCTGTGGGGATCCGCCGCCCTGGGCTGAGCCGTAAATTTGCGCGTTTGGGTGGGGTCGCCCCGTGCAGGGAATCGGTGGCGCTATGGATGTCTGCGGAGGGAGTCAGGAGCGAACGGTCCTAGCGTTGGGGCGTTGTGACACGAGGGCCTGTGACGTGTCGGCCCAGTCAATCCGTGTTATTGTCGCATGACCTGAATCGAAACGTGGTCGTGCGTGCCAGCTGGCGCGGACATCTGTTTCGTTTGCCGTCCGTCGCTGACCCACATGTCATGTTCGTCCCCCTCCCCCGCCCTCCCACACTCATCCCTCCCCTCCGCCCGCAGTGCGCCTGCGCCGCCACTTCATGTGGCGCAACCACCTGTGTCTGGTGTTCGAGCTGCTCTCGTACAACCTGTACGACCTGCTGCGCAACACCAAGTTCAGCGGCGTCTCGCTGACGCTGACGCGCAAGTTCGCGCAGCAGCTGTGCACGGCGCTGCGCTTCCTGGCGTCGCCTGAACTCAACATCATCCACTGCGACCTCAAGCCGGAGAACATCCTGCTCTGCAACCCCAAGCGCTCGGCCATCAAGATCGTCGACTTCGGCAGCTCGTGCCAGCTGAACCAGCGGGTAAGTACTGCGGCAGCGGCGGCGGCGGCCGACGATTTGGGCGTCGGACGACGGCACGCAGTATGACAACGCCACCGGTGACCGAACGACCGCGGACCGGAGGCGGCGCCACCGTCAGCCGCGCAGACGCCAGGCCGTGGCGGCGCCACTGTCGGCCGTGTGAACGCAGGCCTGGGACAACGTTGCTGTCGACCTTGTGGACGGGGAGTTTTGGCGCGCTGCGGCAGTGACGCCGCGAACGGACGGTGCACTGTTGGTCACGTGAAAGCGATAAATCGATAGGTGGAGCCACTGTCGATCAGGCTAACATTGGATTATGTTGTCTCCGCTGTCGACTGGCTAACTGTAGCTGGTTTCGCTTCCCGGGCGCAGCACGACTTGCTGTCTTACGGTATACTGTCAGTGAAACGCGTCGAATTGTTGCGCGCTTGCTGCTTGTCACGCCATGCTGCTGCCATGCTGACCGTCCGCGGCGGACGCCCGGTAGATGTATCAGTACATCCAGTCGCGGTTCTACCGCTCGCCGGAGGTGCTGCTGGGCATCCCGTACGACCTGGCTATCGACATGTGGTCGCTCGGCTGCATCCTGGTCGAGATGCACACCGGCGAGTCACTCTTCAGCGGCACAAACGAGGTGGGCGCTCCCCGCACGGCGTGACGGCGCACCGCGCGGTGATGGTCACGCGCGTCACGGAAGGCTGGACTGCAGGGCTGCAGAGGGGCGCGTGGGGGCGTGACGATCGCATGTGCTGGTGCTACGTCGACTTCTAAGGGGGACTTTGTGGGAATTGTGTCTGCGCGCATTTGGAGCTAGGCTGTGCTTTACTTTGTGCTGTGAAGAGCGCGTTGGAGTGTCAATCGAATGACATTCTACAGCGATGACAGTGTTACTCGCCCCATCGATGTTTGTGGTGTCTATCACCCGCTCCGCGCGACTCGCAGCGCTCCCACAATACCCGCCTCGGACAGGAGCTCACCGCTCCGTCTCGCTCACCGCTCCTTGACCGCCACTCCGGTGACCCAGGTGGACCAAATGAACAAAATCGTCGAGGTGCTGGGTATCCCGCCGAAGGCAATGCTGGACCAGGCGCCGAAGGCGCGCAAGTACTTCGACAAGCTGCCGGACGGCGCGTACGGCCTGAAGAAAGGCTCGGAGCCGTACCGGGTGCCCGGCTCTCGCCAGCTGCACACGCTGCTGGGCGTCGAGACGGGTGGCCCCGGCGAGCGCCGGCTCGGCGAGCTCGGTCACAGCGCCGCCGACTACCTCAAGTTCAAGGACCTCGTGCTCAAGATGCTCGAGTACGATCCGAAGGCGCGCATCACGCCGCACCAGGCGCTGCAGCACAGCTTCTTTAAGCGGACCAGCGACGGCAGCACCAACACGGGCGGGTCGCCACGCTGCACGCCGGCGGCGGAGGCCGGCGGCCGGTCTCACCCCGGTGCGTGGCGGGGCGCGACCCCGGCTGGGACTGTGTGAGAGGGAGAGGTGGGGGGGGGGGTTGAGCGTCCGGTAAAGTAGATGACGAGCCTCGCAGGCGTGTCGGAATGTGGGCAGAGGTAGGCTTTTACTCGCTTTTTTATTCTCTTCGGTGGTTGATATCTGAGGCGATGTTTCTGCGAAGGTGCATTGTGATGTGTTGTGTCGTGAGTGAAAATTTTCGCTTTTGGTGGTTCTCTTATTCATTGCAAACACACCGCGGTGATCCGTGGTATGCGACTGTCGTGACTGCTGAGGCCTGGCCCCGTGCCTGATGCCGGTCGCTGCCCCATTTGACCCAACCTCTGCCCCCGCAGGACCTTCGTCGGAGTGTCTGCGCACACGTAGTGACCCCACCGAGCCGGGGCCGGCGGCAGCCGGTCTCTCACACGAGTACGCGCTGTCGCAGCCGGCCGCCATGGACTGCCAGTCGCCGCTGCGGCCGGCAGCAGCGGGCTGGGCGCGCGCCTACCGGCCGCCGCCATCGGCTGGCTACCGCGGCCACCACCCGCACCCCCGGCTGCTGCGCACCACCGAGCAGCCGCCGGGCGCCGGGCGCCGCTCCCCCGACGCCCTGTACGCCAACACGCTACCGGCGGACAGCGCGCCGCCGCCGCCCGGCGAGCCACCCACCGCCCAGTACGCCAACGCCGGCTTCCTGCTGGGTGCGGCAGGAGGCGGCGCCGAGCCCGCCGCGCGCGAGGACAGTCCCATGATGGGCGTGTGCGTGCGGCACAGCCCCCTGGCCAGCCACTGAGCGCCGGCCAGCCGGCCGACTCACCCTCATCCTGTGCATACTGCGCCTCGATCTCATCGTCACCCGGCGGCCGGCCGCGCGTGCGCCCGCTCCGTGCACCACCCGCGCCACGGAGCCGAAATGGCCGCCGGCGGCCGGCCGCCGGCGCCCGCTTGTGATACGCGACCCCGCGCGGCGCCCGTGCGCGATGGTCGACACTGCCGGCGGCGGTCAGCAGTTCCTAGGCGGCGGCCGGCAGAGGGTCGCTTCCATCTGTGGCCTGGGACGGACCGGGCCGTCCGGGTCGGAGCCTCCGGCGGCGGCGGCGCTGCGCCGCCGGACCGGACGCGACTGTCGTGCATATCTCACGAATACATAGCATGAATTATAGACCGTCGCTGAGGCGTGTTTGTGGCGCGGCAGCCAGTCAGGTACACAGCAGAATCGACTGAGGCTCAAGACTGCCGACACAGCGGCTCAGATGTGCTGAACAAGGCTGCCGCTACTTGCTCCCTGTTCCAAATGGTGCTCACGAAAACTGTTGTACCTTGTTTTCAGGGAGCGGCTCGTTTTGCCGCAATTTTAAGTGGAGGTGGGCGGAACTCTTTCGATTATGTGGCGCCAACCGCTCACTCTTCCCTTCCGTAGCTGATGCCGATACAATTGTTCAGGCAACCAGCGACAACAGGCCTGCTAGGTCCCACTGATGGACCAATAAAATCCCTCGCCACCCTGGATCTTACAACATGACGAACAACTCAAATGACGGCCGTGTACGTAACGTTGACAGCGTCTACGTTACACTCCGTTTGAAAATCTGTGACAGCCGTCCGCCCACTGGTCCGCCATCTCAAAACGTTAACGCAGTGAGCCTTGTCGTGTGCCATTCAATGCCGCTACGTGATAACATCCATATCCTATGCTACGTGATAACGTCCATGTCCGTGCTGATGTCTATTGAGCCAGACTGCGGCCAGAACCCGACTTTGAGCGGCGCTGTCATTGCGCTTCATCCGCAGCATCAGCTGTTGGTGCTGGAGACCAATGCCACTCGAGGTCACCCAAGAGCGCGAACAAGCGGGGAGGTTGCGGTGCCGGGCTCTGGCCAAACCGGTCGGGCGCGATCTCGCTGGGAGGGCGGAGGGGGGGGGGAGGATGCTGACCTCTCCGTAACGCAGCGCGTCACATGACCCCGCTCAAACGGGCGCCCGCGCGGGCAACACAAGATCGTGCGGACACACGGCGTGGTGAATGCAACAGCACATGCTGAACGATGCAGCCAAGCACAACTCAACGCGCGTCCCTAACCTCAGCAGACAGGAAAAGCAGCAGCTCTTCGTCATATTCCGGGAAGGCTGCTGACGATCTCCAAGTAATATGTGAGTGTACATCTCTACCGGAGCTCACACACTCACATATCTGGCGGAACCCTGGGATGCGGTGCATTTGTTTGCTCGCATACATTTGTGCATGCATGCACTTTTTCCGCAGTTGAATATGCACTTCCCATTTTTCCATGGTAAGCACTTCTCCGTTTAGCACATGTCGCAGGCAGGGGCGTAGTTTCAAAAGATTAGCTGGTGGGCTGAACTTGGAAAAATGGCTAAACCTTTTCCTCCCATTCCAGAATGCAACAAAAAGGATCTGTCCCCGCCAGGACCGCCTGCAGTTTAGTACTTACGCCGTTTCGCAGACAGAGGCATGTTTTCAAACAAATGAATTGTTGGACGAAACATAGCGACTGGCTAAACTTATCTTCGCCCCGCTCCCAATTGCAGCAAAATGGATTTCTCCACGCTAGGGCCCCAATGAGGATGGGTTGGGGGTGGGGCTCAGTGAGCACAAAGTATCGCTCGCCGTGTTTAAGTAAAAAATTGCTCACCTAGGATGGGGGCCTGGCTTCTCTGGCCGCGTGGCAGCTTCCCACATTTTGTCACTTTCCCCCAATTGAATTACGAAACTACGCTCCTGATCGCAGGTACGCAGACTGAAGATTCGTCACACAACGTGAAGGAGTTAAGTACGTTTAGACTGTTTTGCATTTAACGATTATGAGAAAAGCACCTGATATGATGGAAAATGCTTACTTGTATTAACGGTCTGCTTCGGAGTGAAACAACTATTCTTGACTAATTACTTTGTTCTACTTCATTAATTAGAAAGAGATCCTAATTACGCATTGATTGATAACGACATGGGACGTTTGTATGATGTCGGTGTCGCAGCCTGAGCAAGGGCGTCAGAGTTGCCGCTGTGGCGGACCCAAGGCCATGGTGACGGAGAGGGTACCTGGATTGTGGAGCCTCTACGCCCTGCAAGGTGGCGTCGTTTCATTCATGGGTGAGAATTCAGCATGCTGGGCTATGTTGGTGTACATTGGTCTCTTCTTCTGTTTTTGTATGTTTTTTCTGTCATGGAACCTTCACTACTTGCATCGAATCTTTGCTGTGGCATTTTCTGAAGTTGTTCACTTCTCAGCCTCATGTTTGTCATATCTAGGTAACTGCCCAACTGCCCGTGTTAGTTAGACCAAACGTGATTTGCCTTTGAGACATGTACTTGCAGAGAAATCTATCAATGCCTCAATCAACACCTTACTGTATGGGTTCAACCTCAAATAATAAGGTGTTTAATCCATTTGCTTTAAACATTGATGGTAGTGATCATTCACCATCATATGATGGATATGAAAAACTAAGAGAAGCATGCACATTCTATTTACCTGAAAAGATAAAAACTGTTATTCCACATAATACCAGTGCACTAAACCTTATGCATGTTAACATTCGCTCAATCCTGAAGAAGCATGATGATCTAAGTAGTCTACTTGCCCAGACTGATATAACATGGCATGTTATTTCTATATCTGAAACATGGCTGCCTCCAGCTTTGGAATCTCATTATGACTTACCTGGATACCGAGCTTTCTACTGCAGCAGATCAAAAGGGGTAGGTGGTGGATCAGCAGTATACATTGCTGATCATCTTCATCCTATACAACTTTGGAACCCAGTTTTCTCTACAGCTGAAGTGGTTTGTGCTGAGCTACTCTGTGATAATGCTAGTATCATCATTTGCCAAATTTATAGGTCACCCAACACTGACAAACACCACTTCAACTCAGAGCTAGAGCAATGCCTAATTTGGCTTAATAAAATGAACAAAGTTGCATTTATTACTGGCGATTTCAACTTGGATCTGTTCTCATTTGATATCAATCCTAATTTGCATGCATTTTTCACCAACATGTGTTCAAATGGCTTCTTTCCTACAATATCCAGGACAACTCAGTCTTGCTATCCATCATGCACTCTTCTAGATAACATATTTTGCAATGACTTATTAAAAGTGATGCATACAGGCATTCTCCTTCATGATTTGTCTGATCATTTCCCTATTTTTGCTTCCACGAACTATGCCTCACACCCACACTCACCTGATGTTCGAACACCCATTACCACATTTGATTACAGAAGGCTGGATGAATCTAAACAATTCCTTGTTGACCATCTGGTTGATATTGAAAATGAGCCAGAACCTGATGCTATTGCAAATCAAATTGTGTATATTTACAATGCTGGGATCACCAGGTTTTCTCACACAAGGCACATTTCTAGAAAGACCAGCTCACACAAACCATGGGTGTCACCTGCACTTCTTCTATCAATTACATGTAAAAGCAAGTTATTTGAACAGAAATTGAAGAACCCCAGTCCCCACAATATTGCAACATACACTTGCTACTGCAACATTCTAACTACATCTCTTAGGCTAGCCAAAAAGAAATACTACAGTAACAAATTCAGTAAAAATTCTGGGAATTCCAAGGAAACATGGAAAACATTACACACTCTCATCAATTCAAAACAAAAAAAGAATGCAGATCCAACCAGGATTATTGGTACTAATAACAAAATTATCACAGACGATCCGGATATCGCAGAATCATTTAACCTCTTCTTCAGCGAGATTGGACAACAGTTAAAAGACGAGATGCCTAAATCATCTTTCGACCCCCTCCAGCTCATCACAAATGTCGAAAACGAAATGGATCTGCCCCCACTAATGGACAGGAATTAATTCTTCTCATCGATAGGCTAAACAACGTCGGAGCTGGAGTCGACAATATTAATTCAAAAATATTCAAGTTATCTTATAAGGTTATACTCAAACCAATTCTCCATCTTTTCAACAGCTGTTTGTCCTCGGGGATATTTCCAAGCATTTTCAAAAGGGCCGTGATTAAACCCATCTTTAAAAGTGGGGACTCGCAACTTGTAGATAATTACAGACCTATCAGCATTTTGCCGTTTATGTCCAAAATTCTTGAAAAACTTATATATAATAGACTCGTCCTTCATCTAAACCAAAACCAGCTAATTCACCAAAATCAGTTCGGATTTCAGAAGAACAAAAGTACTTACATGCCAATTCTTCTTCTGCAGGAAACTATTACAAAGGCTTTTGAAAATGGGGAATATGTGTTAGGTTTGTATTTAGATCTGAAAAAAGCCTTTGACACTGTAAACATTAGCCTTCTTCTACGTAAACTTACTAAATATGGTATTCGACGAAAATCTCATGAAATCATTTCTTCATATTTGTCTGGCAGAACTCAAGGTGTAAAAATCAGGAATGATCTATCAACAATCAAAAACGTAACAATGGGGTTACCGCAAGGATCCATTCTCGGCCCAATCCTCTTTTTAGTGTACATAAATGACCTACCTAAATTAAGCAGTAACATGATTTGTCTGTCTTATGCTGATGATACTGCGATTGTTTTCAAAAATAAAAGTATTGTCGAACTTCAAAACAATGTCAGTACGCTTTTGCTTCTAATGGCTTCTTGGTTTGCTGCTAATTTTCTCTCCCTGAACGTATCGAAAACATTCACACAGCATTATACAACCCTTTCTTCGCATTTCCGACTAAATGTGCAAATTAATAATTCACCTATTGAAGAGAAAAAGAAATTAAATACCTTCGTGTAATCATTGACAAATCTCTTAAGTTTACAA